ATTGATCCCTTTGTTCCCAGAAGCTTACTGGCACTATTCAGCCCTCAACAAGCTCCACAGGGGTGCTGCATGTGGAAGAAGCAAAGAGCAGCACTGATGTCTAAGCCAGACAAGAGAGCGGTGACAGGAAGGTCACAGCAGCACACACGTGCTCCTCCTCCCACATTGTCGGCAAGCAGCACATGCTGCATAGAATCCTGTGACTGCTCCTTCTTTTGCAGTAAACCCGCAGTTTTTTCACATTATTTTCTGACCTCCGAAAAAGAACATTTAATTAGCCATTTTAATACAAATGGAATTCCCAGTGAAGTTATCATACTTCATCAGGGTTCCAGTGATAGGACTAGAATTAAATTGTAAGGACCTAATCAGTGCCAGCCTGTGTGGGCAGTTGGACTTGCTAAGAAAAATGTCTGTTGCTCTTAAGTAAGAGGTACTTAAAAGGTGTCTGGCAATTGCTTAGTAATCTGAGATTTCTAGGTAATACTGGTATAGCTTACAAATAAATACTATGTTCTCTGGTGATTACTTCCTAGTTCTATTTCTTTGCCGTTATTATCACCCTTAGTACTGCATCACCACTGTTAAAACAATTCTCTTTTCTCTTACAAATCACTCAGTGACTTCTGTGCAGGTCAGTTCTCAGTATAAGAGGGAGGAGAACAGGGAGGAATGAATGAATGAATGAATGAATGAATGAATGAATGAATGAATGAATGAATGATGATGCTGGTCCATGGCAGGGGAGGTAAGAGACTGTAGACTGTCAGTGAAAGCCTAACACGAGGAATATGGTGCCAGACGAAAGAGATCATTTACTTCATCCTTCTGAAAATTGTTTAAAACATGGGTACAGTTTCGTCCCCTTTCCTCTCCCCTCTCTGTTTCAGTCTTTCTTCAGTTAGGAGGCCTATATAATATCTCCCAGTAATTCACAGTATCTAAGTATTATTTATGGCTAGTTATTGTTTGCTGTTATGCATTTTTATGATGCCTTATTCCAAAAAGGACATGAGATAACTTTAAAAATACAGAACAATATAAAATTTTTAGATAGGTAACTGAAGAATTTGCTACAAAGGGACAAAGATAAAGCCATCTCAGTGAAAGAAATAAAATTCAGATTGACTCTGTGATACATAGGTTCACAAAGTAACAACCAACCAGTTGCCCAAAGAGAAGCGCCGCTGCTCTTGATGCAGGGACTGCCTGGGCCCTCCTCTCTGATGAGTGCTGCGAGGCAGTGAGCTGGAAGTCACAATTACTACACAAGAATCTGAACTGCTGGTGGCTCAGAGAAGTGGAAGAGAAGGAGATGTTAGTGACCCTACCAGTAGAAATTACTTCTTGATCATAAAGCTAATGCCCCAGAAAGCTGCCACTCTTCACCCCTAACAATTACCCCTTTCTGGTGCTCCTTTTGGAATGTAGTTCTTCACTTGGGTTAGCCTGGGGAGGGAGAGATTAGTTACCTTGAATCAAGGTGAGGGAAAGACCAAGGGAAATTGGGCAATTGTAAAACTCATCAGGAGATTCGAGTCTCCATTGATAAGATATGCTTATATTTTCAACACCTGAACTAACTATAGATACCCTATTTTACAGCTTCTAAGATCACTTTTTAACACTTACTTTATGCCAGGCACTCTTCTAATAACTTGGTAGGAATGACTTAATTTTGCAATCACCCTACTAAAAAGTACTATTTTACAAGTGAGGAATTAGAGGGGAAGAGAAAAACCAACAGACTTTCCCAAAATCATACATCCAACTTAGAACTAAGCCAGAATTCACCCCAAGGAGTCTTGCCCTGGAATTCAAGCTTTTAATAGGTAATCTACAATGTTTTCACAAGTCTTCAGGTGCTTTGCCATTCTGTTTCCTAGACAGACTCTGGATACTAATGCAATGGCTTCCTAGCAGTCAAGAGCTATATGGAAACCTGTCTTCTCAGCAGTGTTTGACACCACGGACCCAGCAACTGACACACAGGGTTCACCAACAAACATTTGCTGAGTTGTACTGACTTGCCCTGCTTCTGGAAGCCCTCAGTCCCCTTGGCTTCTGTAACACCATATCCTTTCTTCCTGCCTTTCTGGCTCCTCCTTTTCAACCTTCTTTTTTCCCCTGCCAGCCCATTATATGAAAGCATTCTCCATTGTTTCTTCTTAGGTCCACTTTTCCCCCTGGACTCACCCTCCCTGGTGTTCACAGCTACTCCAGTTTTTGTGTACATGTTGGTGTCTCACAAATATCTATTCACATCCCAGTTTCATAGCTAACATTCAAGCTCACATGGTCAACCCTCTGCTGGAATTCAGTGTCTCATACGTACTCAGAATCAATCAGCCCCAAATTTAATTCATCTTCATGCTTCTGGCCACTTCTAAAACTCCTTCTCTGTTGATTTTCTCAGTTAATAATAGCATGATCCAAATAGCTGCTTGAGACAGAAATCTTGGAGTTATTTTGACTTCTCTCTCCCTCTCTTTTTTATTTCCTATACCCAATCATTAACCAAGCTGCTCTGAGTCCACATTTTAAACCTATTTCTTTCTCTTCATCCCTACAGCCTTCACTGTCTAGTTCAGGCCACCACTAGCTTGCACTAGGTGGCCGGAACTAGATAGAGATAGAGAACTAGACGGCTCTCACTAGGTGAGAGCACCTTGTAAGTTCCAGTTGAATGTCATTTCTCCCATGGGGCCATTGCTGTATAGCTCCTGCTTACTTCTCCACCTGCACCTCTTCACTGTGCACAGTGTTCCCAACAGTTTTAGTTGACTTCAGTTCTCTGCTACCTTTTCTGTTCACACTGCTTAGAATATTCTTGCTTCTCCTCTTTCTCCCTGCAACTCCCAGCTTGTCTTACTAATTTCTGTCATCCTCCAGGCCTAGTTGCTATGTCATGTTTTGAGAAAACCTTCCTTAAGCTTCCACTTTCGGGGTAAGTTTTCCATCTCCGGAAGCCCATGCCATGCCATATTTTTTCTACCACAGACTGTATTCTCCACCTCAAATGGCAATCATGGTTTTACTCTTTGCCAAGGGATACAAACCACAGTAACAACAAATTCCAAATTTTTATTTGGTTTATTTACACTTGATTTTGTAGTGATATAGTATAAGTTAAGGAAAGAGCCAATGAGGGGCCAAGCCAGTGGATGGGTTCCCTGTTCCACGGTCATTCGAGAACTCAGGCTGCTGGCAGCTCTGTCACCCTTCAGTTGTGACCTCTGAGTCTCCCTGCATCATAAGATCTGGATGGTACATGAGGAAAGGTCATGGAGGATCATATGCAGAAGATGTTATAGGTCAAGCCTTGAAATGACAGTCATCATTCTCACTCATAATCTATCGACTAGGGCCCAATGCATGTCTACACCTAGCCACACAGGAGACTAGGAACTGAACTTCACCTCTGCCAAAGAGAAGAGGACTGGCTTTGGTGATCAGCCAGTAGTCTAACACATTGACTTTTATTTTCACTCAATTATTTTCCATGAGGGCAGAGGAAATTTTTTGCTTTTTACTTCATCCCCTATGCATTCAATAAGTATCTGTTAAATACATAAATCTGTTTTTATCCTATATTTAAAATATTTTCCACCCATTTTAGTTTCTGATATAACATGATATCTGAGCTGAGGCAGCTTCTAACACTTCTCTTCATATGCGACGATATTCATGGAGCTGAGATATAGTGTATATACACACACATATCTTTGGTGTTTATTGGTAAGCTCATTGCAAAAAAAGTGGTTGACCATCTCTATATGTGAACTCTATGCCCATTTCTTTATTTGTCACACGTATTTTATTCAGAGATTCAATAATCCATATTTTCTATTTAAGGCATCCCTTTTCTCAGAACTGAGGTACCTGGGAAGCCAGGATGCGGTTCACTACCATTTAAAGCTTGAGGGTGGGTGAGCATGCAGGCTGTCAGAATGTAAGGATATTGTTGAGAATTGTATACACTGTTCAGTATCTTTTTATAAAGCCTGGAGAGAAATTTATTTTTTACCACAATAAAAGAAATAGCTTTGATTCGTCTTAAAAATTGACTGTTTTTATCTTATGATGTCCATCAATGGCATAACATGTACTTTTTATTTCTTAGCATTGTTACTAGAAAGTTCTGACTAAATGTGGGGGATACAGCTACTAGTACACTTTGTACGCTACCCCACTCAGGTTTCAAGGAAGCTGAACATACCTTTATAACTGTTTTGCTTGTCCATGTTTTTCCTTTCTCTTCACTTGTTTTATCTTCTTGCATTGCATATTTATCAAAACCACCTAAAGTATGTTTTGGAACAGAGAAGAAATACACATAGATGTAATATATTGAAAATTGATCTTTCTAAGAGACATAACATGTTTTCAGTGGAGTGTGATTGAGTATTTTTCCTTTTTAATTTGCTTCACCTTTAGAAATATTTTCAAAGAATATGAACTAGTTTTTTATTTTAAGGGGGAGAGAGGGAGCAGGAGAATGAGAAATGATGATTTATCACAACACCTAAACTGAGCTAATCCAAAAGCGAAAAATTGATGTAAATATAAAACCATAGGTAGTGTGTTAAAATATTATAATGTTAAAATATTATAGACAGTTGTGAAATTTGCTGTAAGATGAATTCCACGGGGGTGAGAACCTTGTCTTTATTGTTATTTGCCTGGAGACTAGAGTCTTGCACACAGTATACACTGTAAGAATGTGTTTGGAAAATGTGAATGTAACGCCTCGGCTTTTGTTAGGAAAAACTTGGTTAGTGTCAAATAAATGATGTTGCATATTCGGTATGTGCTCTTAACCATGTACCTTTTAGACTCAGTTTCATAACTAATGAGATAAAGTGAATATCACATAGGCACTAAGATTCTTCCCAGCTGAATATCCCATGCTCTGCTTACCACCCTTGTTAATAGTAGTAGCAGAGTTAAACATGTATGTGAATATCTACAGCAATTTGGAAATTTTGTTTTCAAAATAGGGTATCCAGCTACATCTTCAAATGCCCTCATAGATGTGAGTGCATCGACTCCAAACAACATGCCTCAAAGTGAGTACAGCAAGGCTTTCCTGAAATAATTCAGAGGAGACAACAGGCTCACAAGTTTTACTGCAGGCACGGATAGTGTTGAGGTTTGGGCAGAAGGCTGTATTTCTGATTCGATGTTGATAATTTGGGCCTGGTTGCTTGTCATTTATGATCTGATTACTATATATTGATGTGACAATCACTATAATCTTAAAAATAAGGGTTGGTGATTCGTTATTACACTATGCCTTTTATTTGTCATGGGATTTCAAGGTGATATTTGAGTACTGTCAAGTAATCTTGACAGTAGTCCCAGTGATGTGCATTGGTAACAGGAACAGAAAAAGAGAGCAGAGTGCAAGAAGTTGGCATTAAACGTAAGCTGCAGAACTTTTGCTCAGTATGCCAGCTAGCATTCCTGCATAGGGAAGTGTATTTTCGATTTTCAGATTTCCCCACAGTCCCATAGATTAAAAATTTAGCACATCAGAGCAGAGTTAAATTATAGCTTTATAAAAAGTTTATATTCTGGAAATTTTGTCTTACAGCTGGCAATTCCCATGTGACTGCCCAAGGCTTCAACTACTCCTGGACCTCCAGTGGGAGAGACATTGAAACCTGTAAGTATGAGTCCCTTTCAGTCCCCTGGGCCTCATCACTCATCCAACACATATACTGAGTAACTCCTATGCGTTTTACTCATAATGAAATTAACAAATATTTACAAAGCATCTTCCATGTTTAAAGCACTGATGTTGGAGCTGGGCAGGCATCTGTGAATAAACAACAGATCCTAGTTCCAGACACTGATGGAAGGAAGATAGGCAAATGGTGAGACAGAACAAATAAAACAGGGAAGGGAGAAAGGGAGAATAAAATGTGAGAGTAGGTTGCCATTTTAAATAAAGTAAGGCCTTTCAAGACCTAAATTTAAGGTGACATCTGAGTGAAGATGTAAGTAACGGAAGTAAAAATGCAAGCTTCGGGTGTGTCTAGGGAAAGAGCATCCTGGCAGAATATACATGTCACTAATAAAAATGAAAAATGGAGCCCAGGGTGAGGCACAGAACTGGTCTGTTACTTTCAGCCTGGCCGACCAGCAGCTACAGTGTCTGCTGTTTTAGTAGATATGGACAGGATGTGAAGAGGAAACACACTGTCTCCTAGTGGTATTAAGACAGAGATCAGCACTGTGGGGACATAGCAAGGGATGTGGCAGAAGCGAAGACCTCGGAGGCCAAACGCTGTGAATTAAACCACTAGGCCCTTTGCCACAAAGTCTATGTGTATGTTCACTTTGGAAAGCATTTAAGTCGTATATTTAAAACTTCTTGAAATCTTTTGTACCCACTGGCTCAGTCATCTCTCTGCTGGGAACTCATCCTTAGGAAATACATAAAAGAGAAACATGTATAATATTGCTTTTCATAGCACTATTCATTTATTTCCTTCATCTCTTTTATGGACATCAGTTTCACAGATTTGGATTAATCATAATTTTTAATTCATGAGATACTTTCATCATTTGTCTGTGTATAACTCTATATTTTAGTGTACCATATCTCTTTTAATAAATGTTAATGATACACACTGACCATTGAACAACACAGGTTTGAACTGCACAGACCTACTTATATGTAAAATATTTTCAATAAATACATATAGTATTATAAATGTATTTTCTTCTTTATGATTTTCTTAAAAACATTCTCTTTTCTCAAGCTTAATTTGTTGTAAGAATACAGTGTGTAATACATATAACATACAATATATGTATTAATCGAGCATATTATTAGTAAGGCTTCTGGTCAACAGTAGGCTACTGATAATTGTCTTGGAGGAGCCAAACGTTATATGTGGATTTCCAGCTCTCAGGGGTCAGGGACCTTACACCCGGTGTTGTTCAAATGTCAACTGTAATGCACACCTGTGAACTCACTGCTCAGATAAATATGACTGAAAAGCCATTATAAAAAGAGAGGGCACACAAAGAGATTCGCAGATAAGTAGAACATAGAGGTGTGTCAAGGTAGCAAGACAGATTACTGTGAAGAGAAGAGACCGTTTAGCAAATGAACCTAGAAACATTGATTATCTATAAGAAAAAAAGCACTGAAATGTACTTCTGCCATATGCATTACACAAAAAAATTCATAGACTGTTCTTTATATCAACAAAGCATTAACATGTAACAAAATAAAGGTGAATATTTTCCCAAGCTGTGGGGTAGGGAAGGACCTAAAGAAGAGACATCAAGCACTAACCATTAAAATAATTTGAAATAGAATCAAACTTAAAAAATTTAAATTATCAAAAGACACCTTAAAGAATGTAAAATTAATGAAAGCTATAATCTAGGAGAAGATACTTGTCACACATGTAATTGAAAAAGAATGAAGAATACATACTTCACAAAGTATCTAAATTTTATATAAAAACATATAAAGAATGCCGACAAATCAGTAAGAAAAAACAGAACACTATAGAAAATGAGCAAACAGGCATATTACAAATCATGAAACAAGTGGCCAGAAAAAGAGATTCTCCGCCTCTCTAGAAATTAGGAAATGCAAATGAAGACTAGAATCAGATAACTATTTTATACCTAATCAATTAGCAGCAATTAAGAGGTCCGTAATTACCAAGTGTTATATGGACTGTAAAATAATGTAAGAATTTATATATTGCTGGTGAAAGTGAAAATTGGTGCCATCACTTTCCATCACTTTGACATTACATTTAACAAATGAACATTTTCATACCCTGCAATCCAACAATTTTTTTCTCCCAGACAGATATTCCACTGCACATGCAAACATACTAGTACATCTACCCAGGAGGTATGTATACTATTCATAACAGCAAAAATTAGGAATAATATAAATCATTATGGCCAAGAGAATAGATAAATAAATTGTAGCATATGCATATAATAAAATATCACAGAGCAATAAAAAAATGAGTAAATGATAGTCACATACAACAGCATGAATGAATCTTTATAACATTGTGTTGAGTCAAAAAAGTAAGTGCCAGGTGACAATATATGGAATAATATTTTTCAATAAAATTTAAAAGTAAGTATAACCAACCACCATACAATTTAGGTATAATATGTGATAATTTTGTTAAAAATTATATGTGACTAATAGAACATTCAAAACAGGGTTTGCTTTTGAATGGGCATACCAGAGATAGGTTGGGGTTAAATAACATTATATAATATAGTCATAATATATGACTAAAAACCAAAATATCTGTGTGAGTGAGTGAGAATGATAGGGTGTTTAGGAAGAATTTGTCCAATAATAAGAGAATGTGGAATAGGTGAGATAATAACTCAATTAAATATTATGAAGCCCATTAAAACCATAGCCATAATGTACTAAGCCAGCCAGAATATCTTATTATGTAGACAAGGCTAGGAGCTGAAACATATTTACCAATCAGTTATAAATTGAGAATAAAAGTATTAGTTAGGCTGGGGATGAAAGTATGTACTTCATAGATTAACATTTATCTTTATATGGTGTTAACATAAAATTCGGTTGTTCCTAATAAACTCTGCTGAAACTCTACCTGCGCTAATTTGTCATCCTTTATTCATGACACTGCAACACAAGGGAGTTCCATGAGATATTTGTTTTGTCGGCCTACCTGTATTCCCCATGTCTAAGACAAGGCTTGGCATTTTATTAATGCTCAACAAATATTGATGAACAGATAAATTAAATCATACTTGTTGGTTATGAGAGGGAAATTATGTAGTAGTGGGCAAAAGAGTTTATTGGACAATGTTATAGCAAAAAGCTGAGCTCCAACTTAAATTTATGCCACCATTATATATATATATATATATATATATATATATATATACACACACACATAAAATTCTGTTCATTTATTCTAATCATAACTGACTGTCTGATGTTTTCCTTATTTTATTTATTTGATTGTCTATTGAAATTATACTAGACTGTCACAAGAACAGGTTTCTAAATCATTTTCTGTCTTGTTCACTATGCTTTCCTGATACTTGCAGCAGCAGTGGGTATCATAGGCGCTTAGCACATATTTCTTGAGGGATTGAAAGAATATATGTAACATATGGGCAAGAACAAGAAAGCAAACACATAAACACAGTGAAAAGAATGATCCACTAAAGTGGAATATTTGAACTTTTTATTTACTTGTTTTATTTAAATCGTCAGTACAATACCATATGTGCCAGTTGAAAGGAAATCCTCTTCACCCCAGGAATCACATCACTATGAAGCACACAGGCCCCCGAGGTTCTTCCTGCCTCAGAAACTGTGAAACTGAAAGGGTCTCGCTTAAAGTACTTTATCATTTACACAAGTGTATTCTTGGTCTTTTTAATAGGTTTCACACTTAAACAAACTATTGTAATCCTTCTCATCTTCTATCTTTTCTCAGTTGAAAACTTTATTTATCCTCACACCTTTTTATCATTATTACCACAAAATAGCCTTAGAAATTGTGAAATCCAGAAAGGAACTTTAGAACCCAACATTTTTTTTTCCTGTCAGTGAAAACCTATATTTTTACTTATGCAAAAATAATAAGTTTTTGTTAACTAATTGCCACTTTTTAATTCATAAACTTATAGAAAAATCCCCTGCAGTGAGTAGTTTATGTGTAGTTATTGACAAAAATACATTAGAATGCAAAAAATGAATATTGATTGCTTACTCTCAAACTGTTTTTGAAATGTGTTTCTGCTCATCGGATTGTACTGTAATGTGACATCTAGTATTAGATGATGCATTTGGCAAGACTCAGCACAGGCACTGGTAATGGGATTTTTTTCTCCTCCTATGTTTATTTCAGTAGATTTATGAAATGTTCAAAGGCAGGCAAAGAATGATAATGGATGGATTTCTGGTGAAATAAACCCACAGCAATGTTTCTAAGGCCCTTGCTATTTGTCAACACGTGCTATGGGATATTTGCTTATACTTGCACTACTTGTAGCTCATATTTATTTGGATGTCACTAGACAGTTCTGAGTTCATTACATTTATACTAAATTCAGAAATATAAGTTTTAATATATTCTTTGGTTGTCATTTGGTTTATCAACTTGAAGGAGTCTAAGCTGGGACTCAAGAATTTTGGAGTCTAGAGGGACTTCCGCCAAGATGGAGGCGTAGTTGAAAAGACTTTGCTTCCTTGCACAACCAAATCTAAAAACAATAAAGTTTTAATAACAATAAATGCAACCAAACCACAGAAAATCGAATGAGTCCAAAAACAACAAAGCGCTCAGCTAAACCAGTGAGAGGGGTGAAGCCAGCATCAGAGCAGGTGGGGCAAAAAGCTCCCCCAACCCCGGTGGCCTGCAGGCAGCCGAGGGTGCAGATCCCAGGTGTGGGCTAGCTACGGGCGGACCCAGGGAAGGCTCCGCGTGGTTGGCTGTCTGCGGTCGCACATTTGTGCACAAATAAACCAGTGAAGAGGCAAGCATTGAGACGGGGGGGCGCAGGGCGGTGGGCTTTTACATTTGCCCTCAGATAAACAGGCAGGGGCTAGCGGTGAGGCAGACCAGGTGAGCAAAGAGGACCACCATTGCTCCCTCTCTGACCCCACCCCCACATACA